CCCCAAAACCCCAAAACCCCAGCCATAAAATGCTTTTTTGCATTATGATTTTTTATCTCAATTTTATTTAAATTAACTTAAATGGATCTAAAGCAAAATAATAACTCTAGACTAACCTAAATAAACTCCTTTTCCCCTAATTTTAATAAATACTAAACCGCTGTATTTACTTCATCGCTAAGGAATTATGACAATCAAAATAAAAAAGAAGCAGATTTGAGAAATAATGCTTCAATAATTAAAACCTTAAAAAAAGGTTCTCAATCATTAAATAGGAACACTCCGGCAAATCTCGATATGTATTAAATGTCTCCTCCAGGGCATTTAAGTTCCCTTATACATAATGATCGATAGCAAAGCAACATTTCAAGGAAAGAAGTAATCCTTTAAAACATTATTAGCAAGATTTGTAATTCACTTATGAACAAGGATTCTAGAATTAACTCTGAATACTTGCTGAAAGTTACAACATAATAAGTTAGCTATGCAATGCAAAACTAAAAGCTTGTAACCCCTAAAGATATTAGCGATCTAGAAGATAGAATTTTAAAGATTATTACTAAAGAAGAAAATATTATCTAAAATAAGAGTATATTCATTAACTAAAAGCATCATTACCTAAGTAATATGGAAGGTGATAAAAATAATCACAGCAATGAAGATTTTCATTAAAAATCTAAGTAAATGATATAATCACCATTTAACTTCAATAAAAATACACTACTTGCATAAACATCATATTAAAAATCCTTTACTCTTTCATAAAATCCTAATTAACAAGTAATCCAGGCAACACCCTAGAGTACTAGTTTATGGTTCAAAGACTTTGGTGTTTAGGATTCCCTTAAAAATATCATTCAAGAATAACATCGCTAAGAGATAAGTGACTTTCTAAAATTTTAAGTAAGAAACTAAGAGAATGAGATGATGAAAAACTTTAGAAATGATTAACTTTACATTGGTAGAGTAATGAGTCAAAACAGAGAATAGAGAAATCAAGAACGAGTAGATAGCTAGAAACGTAAACAAATATTAACTGAAGAATCAAGAAAAATAGAGTAATAATATAAAGAAGATTTGATCAGATTAAGGTAGTAGAAAGATAAAGAGTATCAATTAGAGCAGAAATTGATTGAGCAAAATTAACTAGAAATTTAAAGGGAAAGAATGAATAATCTCAAGAAGAAATATAATAACATTAATGTTTAAGAAGTTTTAAAATAATAGATGAACTAACAAGATGATTAGATGGCTTCTCAAAGAAATCACAGTATCAATCATGATAATGAATTTCTCTCTCACATAAAAACTAACAGTCTTTCAAAATCGAACACCCTAAGATCTGGTACTTAGATATAGGGAACAAATAATAAGACATTGCTTGACCATTTCTTTCACAATAGAGATTAACCTCATAAGTCATATGAACTAGCTTAGAAAAACTAAGTATTTTCAGATAAAATGCTAGAATAATTGGAGAAGTAACATTAAGATAAAATGATGAGTGAGAATTCAAGATTATAAAAGTACTAATCAGAGATCGCTCTAAATCAATAAAAGAAAGATGAATAAGCATAACAAAGAAAGAGAGAAATGCTTAAGATTGCATAGGAAATGCAAAAGAAATAAATGATAGAGAAAAAAGACAAAGTCAAAGTTGAGGTGGTAAATGATAAAGCAAGAAGAAGATTACTTGAAAGAGATGCAGTTGATTATGGATCTTAGGAGATTTAAGTAGTAGAATAGCAAAGAAGCAAAGAGAGAGATAACAGAAAATTAGTTAAAGAATAGATAAAAGAGCAAACAATCATTAGACTTAATGAGTCTATTATGTGATTGAAACTATAAATTTATGACAAATTGTTTAAGGAGTTTTTGTATTTATCATTATTTGTTTATCTAATTGGGACCTATTTAATAAAGCATATTTAAACCATGGGGTTTTGGGGTTTTGGGG